TCCTGTTGGCAGGGGCACTGCACCCCCAGGCATTGTCCTGAAGCAGGGCGGGCTGCCCCAACCTGGGCCTTCCTGCCAGCAGGCAACCAGTGGTGGCCATGAGTCCCAGCCACCTGGGGGGACAGAGGTCAGCAGCTCAACAGCTTTCTCCTCTGAGGAAAACATTGCCTCCTGCCAGTGTTTTTGTAAAATGCATTACTTAGAGGAAGGGCTTGTGGCTACTCCTCAAACAATGACATTAAAAAAACTCCCGTCAGTTTGATTTACCTGCTATAAATATAGAGAAATCAACTCTAAGAGAAGGCATGTTGAAATAATGGCATTTCCAAATCTTTATCAGTCCCACTGTGGACGTGCTGGAGTGTCACAATTGAAGCAGGGCCTGGGTTCTATTGAAAACTCTGTCATCGACACACTGCATGATCTCATGAAGGTGTTTTTTTCTTTTTCCCCTCAAGTTCCTCATTAATAACATCTGATTGTTGAAAGTCACTTAGTTCACGATGCTCAGAAGCCAGGCAAGGGCTGACGGAACTAACATGTTACATCAAGGAAAGCCCTACATTTTTAAAGAGGTAAATCTCAATGAATGCTGATAGCAGGGCAACTCGCCTTCTAAAGAGCCAGCTAAATAGAACGCATTTCTTTTCTTTTTTTTTTTTTTTAAATATATCTTTATTGATTTCAGAGAGAGGAAGGGAGAGGGAGAGAGAGAAATATCAATGATGAGAGAGTCATTGATCGGCTGCAGCCCGCAACCCGGGCATGTGCCCTGACCGGGAACCGAACCCCGATCGCCTGGATCCTAGGTCCACGCTCAACCGCTGAGCCACGCCCGGCCGGGCTAGAACGCATTTCTTGAATATTTGTGTTGAAATAATTATTGAAAAGAAATGCAAGTTCTCGTTGCGGTTTCCAGTTCAGAAAGAAACCAGCATCCTACCAAGTCCTTAGATGCCAGAGTGGGAGCTGGACAACCTGCTTCCCAAAGTCAGCCAAGGCGGAGTGAAGACGAAGCTGCTCCTGCTCAGCGGGCCCCCTCTTTGATCCCAGTGCACTTCTGTCTCTTCTGAATGACTCTGAGCCCTTGTATTATTTAACTCTCTTCTCATAAGACCCCACACTCCCCAATTTTTTATTTTGAAAAATTTCAAAACCACAGAAAAGGTGAAATTGGAACTCACCAACTGAACACAACAGACAACAAATGGTGGAAATTATTAAGGGTGGAAAATTTTTTTTTTTTATTAAGGGTGGAAATTTTGAATGAATTTCCTCGCCTCTCCACAAAGACTGGAGAGGGGGAAGGGCTTTGAAAACAAGGTGGCACAAAGCTGGTTTCTGGCTTGCTGCCAGGTTTTCCACTTTCCCCACCAAGAAGACATGTTGCTATTGGCTTCATGACAAAAACCTCAACTTCCTTCTCATTTCCTGAAATGTAAACAGATGACAGACGTATAGCAGGTTATACTTTAAATGGGTGGTACATGCCTTGTAATAAAATGCTGGTGGGAAATGTCAAAACAGTGAAGTGATAATGATTGCCTTTTGTGAGTCTGAAGTACTAAGCTCTACAAGGGTGGGAATACTTTAAAAAAATTGCAGGGGATGCTTAACAAGACATATTCTGGGCAGAAGCAAAGGTGAAAATAGAAATTTTCCTTCCAGGGTGTCCTGGTTTGGGTTCCTCAGACTGTAAGCAAAGGACTTTGGTTCAGTTAATTTGGGAGACACTTCCATGAGGCAGAAGTGAGGGAATGGAGAGTGAGAGAGGGATGGGAGAAAAGCAACGAGGGGCGAGTTAATGAGATGGTTTTAGCTGAAGGCAAGTGGGGCTCAATTCCACGTAGGGTCTAGTGAGGAACCTGTAGAACGTACGCACTGAGCGACGCCGGAGGAAACTGGGGTACTTACTAACCATTCCTGACCATTTGGAGGTTGCGCTGGGGGCGTTAAATCCCCAGCCCTTGTAGACAGCCCTATGTGCAGGAAACCTGCACAGAAACTGAGCAAGTTTCTGTGGTGCAGGAAAGCTGTGTTGGAAAGCTGTCAGTCTGCACAGGAACTGTCCACAGGGGCTGCAGGTGAACTGGAAGTAGGCTAAAGGAGTTGGCACTGGGTGGGACACCTACACAGAATCTCTTACCAGTAATAGTTGTTAGAAAGATATTCTTCACAACTGCTCCACATTCATGAATGTTAAATATCAAAGGCAGACATCCAGAAATAAGACCTCACATTTACATTTGATTTTTGCCAAGGGTGCCAAAGCCATTCAATGGGGAAAGATTAGTCTTTTCAACAAAGTGTTGGATTACTGGATATCCACAAGCAAGAGTGAAGTTGGTCCATTCCCTATCTTACATCACATAAAAATATTAACTAAAAATGGACCTGAGACCTAAATGTAAGACCTAAAACTATAAAACTCTTAGAAGAAAATATAGGGGTAAATCTTAGTGATCTTGGATGTGGCAATAGTTTTTTAAACATAACAACAAAAGCACAAGAAACTAAATTAAAAACATAAATTTGGACTTCATTAACATTAAAAACGTGCTTCAAAAGACATCAAGAAAATGAAAAGACAAACCACTGAATGGCAGAAAATTTTTGCAAATTATGTATCAGATAAAGGACTTATATCTAGAATGTATCACGAACCTTTATAATTCAACAATAAGACAACCCAATTAAAGAATGGGAAAAGGACCTAAGTAGACATGTCTCCAAAGAAGATATATGTGTAAGTGGCCAATAAGCACAGGAAAAGATGCCCTAAAGCATTAATCAAGGGAATGCAAATCAAAACGGTGATGAGATACCACTTCCTACCGACTAGGATGGCTGAAACACAAAGGACAGTCACAGGTGTCAACAGGATGTGGAGAAATTAGAACTCTAACCCACTACTGGTGGGAAACGTAAAATGGTGCAGCCACTTTGGAAAACTGTGTGGCAGCTGCCCAAAAGGTTAAATATATAGCAATTCCAGTCCTATATATATGCCCAAGAGAATGAAAACCCTCTGTCCACACAAAAACTTGTACACAAATGTCTACAACAGCATTATTCATAACCACCAAGAAGTGGTGACTGCATGGCATGTGAATCTCAAAAACTTGTTACACAAATAATCAAGAGCATGGAAGCACAGATTCTTCTAAAAAGTCTCGTTTTCATTATTACACTATTATTAGAATAAAACTTACTCTAAGTAAGCATATGCTTCGTCCATTCAGTATGAGTTTCTGCCATATGCCTGTGTCTGTTCAATAAATGGAAGCAAGCATGCTTTCGTGTGCCAGTGCTCGCTCTTCTGGCATGAGCTTTTTAGACAGTCTCACTCCTCTCAGATGAAAGGGAACGAGCCCTGGCCAGCGTGCCCCAGCTGGATGGAGCATCTTCCTGCGCACCAAAGCGTCATGGGTTTCATGCCCGGTCAGGGCACACACCCAGGTTGCCAGCTTGATTCCTCGTCAGGGTGCTTAAGGGAAGGAACCCATCAATGCTTCTTTCTCTCCCCCTCCCCTTCCCCCTCTGGAACCAATGGAAGACACATCCTGGGGGGAGGATTAATAATCAAAGGGAATGACTGGACATGGGTTGTTACAGATGGAGGAACAATTTTAGAAGACCTTTAGCTTTGCTTTCTCTAGGTCTGCTTCAGCCTTGATCTGGAATAACCTTTCAGCTGGTATTGAAAAGAATTAGAACACACTCATTCCTCCCCTGTAAAAACCCTTCTTGGCTCACCCACTGCTTCTGAGAAAACATCCAGAATCCCTTCACCGGCTCTAAGGCTACATGTGACCTGGCTCTTGCTATGTTCCATCCTGTAGTGCTCCTTCCTGCTTTAGGCCCTAACCCACTGTCATTTTCTAAGATGTCCTTCCTGCCACAGTGGTCAATAAATATTTGTTAATATAACACATTTTCTTTTTTAAAAAACATATCTTTATTGATTTCAGAGAGAGGAAAGAAGGGGGAGAGAGATAGATAGAAACATCAATGATGAGAGTCATTGATCGGCTGCCTAGCCCGCAACCTGGGCATGTGCCCTGACCGGGAATCGAACCCTGATCTCCTGGATCCTAGGTCGATGCTCAACCGCTGAGCCATGCCCGGCGGGGCAATATAACACATTTTCAAATAATATTTTTCTTTTAATTGAATTTATTGGGATGACATTGGTTCACAAAACCATACAGCTGTGTACAACTCAACAAAACATCTGCACATTGCATCGTGCGTCCACCACACAAAGCAGAGTTTCTTTATGTCCCTATTTATCCCCCGTTTGCCCACCTCCACATGCACCCTCCCCTTTCGAGGCAAGTCTTCTTAACTGAATTCATGGGTGAATTGGGTGAGGGTCTGTAAGTCTTCTGATGTATTTTGCAAAACTGTGTATATGGGAACACGCATGTTTCTAAAGAAAGCGTCCATATTTCCCATTTGATTTCCAAAAACATCTATGACCAAAAACAAGGTAATGATCTAAGGGAATGAGGCTCAGAGAAAAAGGGAGACAAAAGAAGTCAGAGGCTGACACAGCTATAACATACTATAAAGTGATTTGAATGTTTGTGGCTGTAAAAGGTAAACTGCTGATGTCTGTTGATGGTCGTAAGTACTGAGGACACAGCGATCCCTATGCCTAAAATAAGAACTAGTTGTTTTCTCCCTGTGGGTTAGCCATAGAAAAAAACACTTCCCCTGGTAGTAGTGGCTCATGTGATGGTGATTTTCAATAGCCAGCCTTGCTCTCCAGGGGCCTTTAAAAACTACATATGCCAGTCCCTCATTCTGAGACCTGATATGCCTTCTGCCGTATCAGGGGTGTGTTGGGTATGTGTGAGGTTGAGAATCATAAATCTAAATAATGTATTCAAAAGAATCCATCTAAAATCCCAGTCAGGTTTTAGCAAATTAAAATTGTTTATAAAGAATGTGGAATGTCCAAATGGCAATGTATCTGCATAAACCAATAAAATATATTAGTGGCAATTTAATTTTAATCTTTTCAAAAAATTCACAACCTACAAATTAGTATACATTTGTGTATGTTTACACAAACAGATATACATCATTCTTTCCCCCATCTGAAATTCAGCCTTCCATAGGTGGTTTCTGGGGCTCCAAGATGACTACATTAGAGAGAGCTGGTGCTTCAAGGAGCCCTCGGTCTTGATATTGACGGCTGGTGTGGCTGTGCGCCAAGAGCAGGGTCCGTGCTAGAGCACCACAGGCAGGAGCAGCTTCTTCTCCTCCAGGAGCATAGTGCAGATGCCATTTCTGTTGTGTTCATGTATCCAGGTGCCTGTAGAGTCTACGACTTTTCTCTTTTTTATTTCTGTTGCCATGTTTTTTCCAGGGTTTTCCAGCCCCGCTCTCAGAGCTCATAGTAGGTGCAGTCACCAGGCCACTCCCAGGCTTGTAGCCCATCACAGCCTGGACTCCTTTGGTCAAAGCTCTCACATTTTCCTAGCAAATGAGAGAAAATATTACTTGAGATCTCAGCAGTCTCCTTTAGAGGACATGCACAGTATTACTTATGGAGACCTCCAAGACGGTGGACTTCCATCTTTCACTGGTCCTTTCTCCTCGTTACTTAAATGGTAAGTTGTCCGCATTCTGTCTTCAGTTCATTTTTACCCCCCTCAACTTTTCTTAGTTCCACAGCTTCAAATATTAACTATAACTACATTCATAATGTAGTACTAGCTACTTCCTGGAAGTCTCTACTTTGATATTGAAATTTAACCTGCCTCAATCTAAATTTAGTTAGAAACTGACTCTCCATTCTTTATTTTAGTGAGTGGTATAAAGAATCAGCCCAGCTGCCAAGACAGCATGCTCTGTCTTCCTCACCTATCATACACAGTCAGCTGGCCACTAAGTTCTGTTGATCCTAGTCCCTGTAATTTTGTGCATCTATCCCCTCCCCTGCACCTCTCCCCTACTGTTCTAGTCCAGGTGTCCATTAGCTTTCCCTGGACCACTGCAAGACTCTTCTAATCTAGTGTCCACATTTCTACGAGTTCTCTAATCACATCTATTCCTGTCCTCACAAATCTCTGATGTTTCCTTGTAGCCTGATGAATCACATACAGATTCTCTCACAGGGCACACAAGGCCACCTACAACATGGGCTCTTTAATGACAAACCCCACACTCCCATCTTCATGCCTTTGTTCATGCTACTCCTTCTGCCTGGAAATCTGGCCCTCATCACTCCTTCCAACTGGCACATTTTTATTTGTCTCTCAAAGTTCAGCTTAAATATCATTTCCTCTCTATAGCTCTCACTTACCCATTCTGCTCTCAGCCCCGAGATAACTGCTCTCCAGCCCGGGTTCACAGAGTACTTGACTTATACCTCTGTCCTAGACCTAACAAGTCATGTGATTTGTTAACTTGCCTGTCTCCCCTTTGCTAGAACATGTTTCCTCTGAAAGCAGTAATTGCGTGTCATTCATTTTGATATCGCAGGTCCTGATATAGTAGTTGGCACATAGTATTAAGTGCTCAAAAAAGTTTCTCTTACCTTGAAATATTACTCTAGAAACTAAAGCTTAGATACATAATTATAAGTTTTCAGCTTTCTTAGACATGACCTTTAGAAACTTTTTGTAAACACTTAAAACTTCAATTTAAATGTCCTGTATGACAGCAGCAGACCCAAGAAAGAACTTGTAATCTTTCTGCATATTGGTAACTTTTCTTCTAAATATTGGCAGACTTGGAAATAATAACTCAAGCAAGGAGTCACAACCACCTAAGTTCTAGCCCAGTTTTGTCATTTAAAACAAGTGTCCTTCGGTAAGTTGTTATACAAAATGTATTAGATGAGAAATTAAGAAAAACTTTAAAACTTACTTGATGAAAAAAAGTTTTGTCAACAACATTTTCAATCTGTTTTGCTTTTTCATTTCGACCTGGCTGTATTTTTATTCCACCACCACTCCACTTGTTCCCCAGTAGCCGCTGGTGCTGATGCTGGAAGGTCAGGGGCTCTCTCCCGGGAGGGGGATGACAGTACAGGAGTTTACCCTATAAGGACAACACGAATGGTGTCAGTGCATCACGAGTGCCACCTGTTACCCCAGGAGGAAGTCCTCAGGCGACGCGCCTCCAGCCGGGCACTCTGACGGAGCTCCTGCTCTTGGTCAGCCAGCTGAGTTTGGGTCAACTGCAACTGAAGAGTCCTAACAAACTGAGTGATCCTTGTGTTCTAGAGGCCTAGCCTCCTGACGTAGCCCCCAGACAAGAATAAAATCTCTCTTCTCTGTGCTCCTTTTTACCTCATTTGCATTCCTACTAAAGTATGTATTTTTCGGTACACTTGTATGACTATACTTATGATGAATATTTTCCAAAGTGAAAACCAGGACACAACTGGACAGTACGACTAGTGGGACACTGGGCTGCTTGGAGTTGCTCACTGGGTGCAGATTTCCCTCTTCCCACCATAAACACTCTAAAAACTGTGATTGTTTTTAATGCATCTTCCCATGCTCCACAGTTTTATAAATTGTAAATGGATAATTTATCCATATAAATATTCCATAACTACTTTCTTCCTGAATTGAAGGCAAGAGAATATGCCTGCCCACTTTTATTTTCCATAATAATCTCATGAGATAGGTACTATTAGTTCCTCCTCCACTGACGAGGAAAATACGAAATTTAACATGTCCTCACTTATGAGAATAATAACCTCACAGACTTGTTATGTATTTTTAATGAGATAATAAACATAAAACATTTGAAACTATTACAGCAGGGTTTAGCTTTGAATAAATGTTAGCTGTTGTTATTTTTGTTACTAGATAAGTATAGGGAGAAAGGCATATAAACAGCTATATTACACGAAAGATTGTGCTAGAGGAGTTGAAAAAAGCAGAGACATAAATTTCTCATTTTCACTGAAGACAGGTGTTCAGAGACCTTCATCTCTTTCATATTATGTTGTCAGTCACTTCACTGATTTATATGATGCTACTAGCTCTCCTGGATTAAGAATATAAATCCAGTTATAAGACAATTTCAATGAGAAAATGTCTCCTTTATAACTTAACAGGTGGCTACTTTCTAAAGTCACACAGTGGAGAAAGACCCAGTTCTTCAAGAGCAGCAAGCAGCAGGGTTCACTTACACTGACATAATCCTTCAGAATGTAGCGTGCAGATCGAGGCTGGTCTGGCTGTCCATGTGCTGTCATGAATCCTCGCATATCTGTGAGGAAAAAGGAATTTTGCAAAACCTAAGTTAGAAGACAGATCATCATAACAAAACAACTGTGGTGATAGAAACAGTGCCCTTTCCCTTACTACACTATGTATCTGTACTCTCTACTTTGAAAAGCCAGTTATCATTGTAGAAAATATTTTGGTTAGCATTATAAAAACACTTGATAACCCAGGAGAATAGATCATATTATTTTATCTGATATCCTAGCACCACATTGTGACGCATGCAACTTCTTTCTACTCCACTTACTTCTCCCATTTCTTGACTTTAAACATTTACTCAAGGAGGCTACCTGTAGAATGCTATGTTGTTAATCTTATTAGCAAAACCAAAAGCAATAGAGCAAGTTTTCATATATATATAAAATCTCCCCACTCTTCTTCCAGTCTCCCAAACATACAACAAAGATCCCTTTAATACTAACTCAATTCAAAGGGAGGAGCAGAGCACAGTGGATAAGAAAACAGGCAGCTAGGTTGGGTTCAAAACTCAGCTCCCTCACATACTAGCTGTGTGTTGGCTCTTTCAGTTTAGAATAGTTAGAATCCTAGAGTTCACACCACACACAAAAGTACATTTAGGCAGATTAAAATCTAAAGGTTTTAAATAATAAAAGATACTACAGAAAAATAGTTTTGTCCTTTTGGGATATAAAAGGCTTTCCTCAAGTAAAATGCCAAACCCAATCAAGCAAAAAAAACAAAAACAAAAACAAAAAAGAACACAAACACCCCCCACCCCAGTCTATTAAAATTGTTAACTTCTATAGTGTTCAAGAAACCATCAACATTAGGAAAAACATTTGTGGCACATGTAACAAAGAACTTCTACAAATCAAGACAAAAACAAATAATGCATAGAAATGGCTAAAAAAATAAGGACAGATGCTCAATTTCACTTGCATTTAAAGAAATAAAAAATTATTTAGCAACATCTTTTAAAATTAACTGTCAGAGACTATTCTTTGTGGACCTGCAGATGGTGACCTTAGAAACGTGTGAGGTCATCCCTTCTCACAAACTGGCTTTTCCCTTACTCTGATTTTCTCAGACACTGACTGGAGAGAGGTCTGGATTAGGAAATCTGGGTTCTCAGCAAGGCTGTGCCACTGACCAGACACCACCTTGGGCAAATTATTTCATGCTTTGATTTCAGATTACTTGTTAAAAAGGGGGACCGAGAAGTGGGGTTCATCTTTCAGGTCTCTTCTAGTTCTGTGATTTTGTGACTATATCAGTCTTACCACAAGTGCTTAGTATTTATCCTCTTTCAAGTCTCTCAACTAAGGTAAGTTCAAGGTCTGATTTAAGAGCTGTCCCTACCAAATCACCTTTCTCTCCCGGTAAATATTCAAACTGAACTCCTTCCCGGCTCGTGACAATTCCTTCAAAGGCAGGTCACACACACAGAAATGTTTCTAACACTGCTCTCTCTTTAAGTAGATACACGTCTCCCCACCCCTTTCACCCCTCAGACAACCTTTAAAGTTTGTATTTAAGGTAAATAAATCACAATCAACTGGAGAAATGACAGGCTAAGATAACCCCCATGTGGAATTAAGGTAAAACATGGAGGTGGGAGAGCGTGGACTCATTTTATAATGTTGAACAAGGCTTACAAGGGACTGATGGAAGGGGAAGAGGTTCTGTGCCCCTATCCTAACCAAGCTCTGCTCTGTCGCACTCTGAGGGCTTTCCCTTCTGCTCTGGTAAGCACATTCATTTTCTTTCCAACATCCCCTTCCTTCCCTGTTTGAGAGAAGTCTCCAGAAAAAGCCAACATAGCCTCAGATCAGAACCCATGTCTATGCTTGGGTACCATCGAAGTGGTGAATGTCCTACAGGCTTCTCTTTAGAGGCTTGTGGGAACTGTTGACAGGCCCTGTGCTCCCTGTGGGAGCTTTGAACACTGCCCACATCAAGGCCTCCTATATAGAAAGGGCCTGAGACCAGGAGAGCATGGAAGATGTGTCTCCCCAGGGAGTGATTTCTGTGATGAAGGTTAAGAAAGGGCAGATCTGGGGAAGAGGCAAAGGATACAAAGCACCTCCTTCTTGAACTTCTAAAAAGCGCTTAACACACTGAAGTAAAATACCACTTGGGTAGCACTCAGTCTCCCTCCTCTACTGTTGGACCCCGAAGCCATCACCTAACCAGCTACCTGGAGGCCACTTTATAGGCAAGGCCAAAAGAGAACACAAAAATATCAACCTGAAAATGAGATAACAAATGCTAAGGAAAAATTCTGGATTTGTATCTCTGCAGAGGACTGTTTTCTCATTAACTTTATTACTTTTTGTTTATGTTTTAAAATAAATCACAACTCACATCCATAAGCTGTCAGCAGTTCCTCTGAAGTTGGAGGTCGATGGGGATCTTCATCCTCTCTAGGCTTTATGATAGTAATGCCATAAGTAGCTTCTAAAACATGTCGTGGAATATTCTGGCAAATGTAAGCTTGTCAAGGAAACCACTGCCTTGAACTGACCCCTCCTCCCCCTGGTGTCTGGCACACATGTGTAAGAACATGGTACGTCAGCACTTCTGTGGCAAAAACTCTTCACCGCTCCACAAGAGTAGTTATTCATTAATTTAAAGACTTTTCCCTTTCAAACAAAGCCTTATGCACCAATGATCAATCTCTACCAAATGAATCCTTTTAAATAATTATTAAAATATTATCTCTCTGAAATACATCTTAAAGATGACACAGTTTTACCTAAACAATCAATTTGTGAGATTATCCTAACTCGAACATAAAGCACAAAGAATTTTTGTTTCAAATCCTTATGACTATATAAGCAGAGGTTATTTTTCTCTCCCTTGTCTAATTACCCATAGATTTTTCTTAATCCACTTTTGACATTCTATCTTTTACCAGTTACTCATGCACATGCTGCATATCCCTGACAGACTGAATCCTGGAAGGACGGGATCCGCATCTGACTCAGGCCCGAATCCTCCATAGAACCCAGCCTAACCAGCTTGCAATAAATGTTCTGAGATTCATCCAGGTTGCAATAAGTAGATTTAGTGCATTCTCTTTTTTTCTTATTTTTCAATTAGTTTACTCTTAGTATTTTTGGATTAGTTTCAGGTGTACAGCATAGTGGTTAAATAATCATATACTTTATAAGATGTTCCCCCAATATTTCCAGTACCCACCCAGCACCATACATATTTATTACAACAATACTGACTATATTCCCTGTGCTGTACTTTATGCATTCTTTTTAACAACTGTATTCTATTTTAGAGATGTACCATATTTTATTTATCATGACAAATGAATTCTTACTCATTATTTCTTATAGAAAGAGAAAACAAATTGGGGTAAACAAAAAGCTGTGGCCTTAAGTGTAGTCATTAAGAGTCTTGTCAAGAACTGTGCAGGGCCTGGGATTTTACCCTACTTAAAAACTAATAAATTAGTGTGGCAGGTTTCATGGAGTCTCTCGTCTTTTGCCAGCACCCACAAAACAGCAAAACAGTAAGATTAATTTGTAAGCTTGTAAGCAGGGATCAATCTTAGATTCTGCAGTTCTTAACAGATCTATCTTTGAGTACGTTTTCATAGCAGACACTAGCCTAGTTACTTCATATAAGTTAATTCATTATGCTGCTAAGAGGCAGCTAAGTTCCTAATCTTTACTTACTGTGAGATCTCAGGCAAGTTATTTCACTTCTTTGTGCCTCAATTTCCTCAATAGCAGTACTCACCTCAAGGGCTCTACTGAGAATTAAATGAGGTATTACTTGGTAAGTGTTTAGCAAAGTACATGGCAAGCATTCAATAAATGTTAGATATAATGATTAAATTCTCATAATTGACTGTGAGGTAGCTATTATTACCCTCATTTAATAGAAAAGGAAAGACTCAGGAAGGTTAAGCAAGTTTTCCAGGGTCACCCAAACAGTCAAATAACAGTGTCAGGATTCAGGCAGATTTGCAATTGAAGGCTAAGATCCCAGCCTGGCTGCCCCGCTGCAACCAGGATGTGAGGCTCTAACTCTGATGTCCTGATGCTATCTCATTGTATAAACTTGGGCACAGCACTAGTAAGTATTTTAGATTTTCCATTCTCAGATATCAGTCCTGAAAACATTAAATGCAAGGCAATGTCCAAAATAAACTTGAAGCCCTAACTCACACATAACCACCTGGGTCTTTACAAAGCAGGAAGGATATTAATGATATAGGTGGAACGTGATCTCTCATCTGGTCAATTGGGAGGATTCCATTGCAAATCATCTCTGCCTTGGTAGATACAAAGGATGGCATCACCAGGCCTGGGCAGTCACATAAGCAGAGGCCAGGTTCCACAAAGAGAGTCTGAAAGACAAGTCAGAGGTTTATGCTGGGCACACAACAGAGGAAGGGAAAGAAGAGCAGCACATGAGTAGCACAGAACTTCAGAAAATACCCAGAGGAAGGAACCGGCTAAGAAGGAAATACAGAGACCAATGCTGTAAAATAAATACCTGAAAATGCTTGGTGTGACCAGGTGTGGCAGACACAGATACTTTCTTGTTGCCCATGATAGTGTTGATTGTTGAACTCTTACCAACATTTGGGTAGCCTACCTGGAAGAGACTCAAAAGTTACTGAATAGTCAAACAGCACATTTGTCAAAAATCCAAAGATATTATATAAAAAGTGGCAACATAAGCATAAGCATTGGGTTGCTTCAGAAGATTACTTGAAATATATGCTGTTTGTTGTCAGACATTTCCCTCCCTGTGGTATGGGTCTATTTATTCAGATTTGTCTCCAGTGATGAACAGTACATTTTATTTTTATAGGTTTTTTGCTATAACAGCAGATGCTACAGTAAAATCACCACCTTGTTTCCAGCTCTTCCCCCACCTTCTCACCTACCGGCATATCACTGTTCCCACTGGATCTTCCACACTGGGTGAAGTTGGGCATCACAGATATATTCATCACCACAACATATAATTATGTTTAATAACATTACCAAGTTTCTGTCTCGCTAGCCAAAAATTTCAAATGCCACAATGAACTGAGGTGGGTTATCAAGCTACTAAAACTCTTCAATTACTCTTGGGTTCTGGGTGAAACATTATACCTCTGCCTCTCGCCACCTATCAATAAATCTGGAATGTCATGTTGCCACAGATCAGGCAGGGTAATACCAAGGAACAAAGTAAGTTCTCAAAATGACAAACTTTTTGCTCAAATTATGTTGCATTTTTTCTATGCTTTTTCTCATGCTTTTCCCCAAATTCTCCAAATTCAATTCACTCTCTTTCATGGTTTCAAGAATCCTCTATCAACATGACAGGAAGATTATAAAATACTGATCCCATTGAATATAAATTCCCAAACTTTCCAGTTCTATAACAAGACTTAAAATGGACATACTCCCACCATTCTAGTCCTAAATCACTACTCTTCAAACTTCAGCCACACTCAATCACATGTCACTTCATGAACACACTTTCCCATTCCTCCCACTCTGCTTAAACATTTACCACCCTTTGTCTGCCTGGATGCCCTTCCACTGTCCCTTGTCAAAATCATATTTGCTATACTCCTATAGCGTATTAAACTTACCCCTCTCTAACTCTCACCACTTGGATTACAAAACCTATGAGGGTGGGACTGTGTCTGTCTTGTCTACCCTATCTATACATGGCTAGGGCCCAGCAAGATGCCTGGCACAAAGCAGGTGATCAAGAAATGTTTGCAGAATGAGGAAATTAACCTCATTCAGGATTTCTACAGTGAGAAACTGAAAAAGGGAGGGAGGCTGCTTCACATTTCTATAAATGTGAGAAAGAAATAAAGTACCTCATAGAGAAGCTGGGATTTCTCGTACATGTGGAAATTTTACTTTCCTCCAATATTTTGTTCTCCTGGATAGAAGATCTTTAAAATAAATCCCTTCTGTAACATTTTACATTTCCTTAAAGACATGGAACCATATTGGACCCCCTTGGGGTTTGGGCACTTTCCACAGCCACCTTGGAATTAGGGTATATGTAGTCAGAGATGTGATCTTCTTTCCTTATTTGTAGGTTTATGCAACTAAAGCATTTATCATATTTTCCCTGGCCCTAAGATGCTGGGATTCTCCCTAATATGCTTTTGGAATATTTACAAGTTGGCAAGGATCACAGGATGCCAAAAGCCTATCTTACCTAAAGGTAAGGACATTGATCTAGAAATCTGAAGACAACCTTAAAACCTCTTTCTAGTATCCCTTGGTAAGTCACATGACAGGCAGGGCCGAACTGGAAAGACTGGGGAAGGCTAATATGAACAGGGCTGTAACCAATGTAAGCCTTGAGAAAGTTCCCTTTTGAGTTGAGCTTTACCTGTCACACTGCCTACTCCCACAACGGCAGTGGGCAGTAAGAGGGGATTAAAGGTCCCTACAATGCCTGATTGGTCTCCAGGGTTCCAGTGCAGCTACCCAAGGATGGAGAACAAAGACCCTCATGTGGTAACAAATTTATGACATTTCATCTTACCAGTCCAACAGTAAGGTGCTCCTCTTTCACCTTCTTCCCAGTGTGCAGCTGCTTAAAGATCTCCAGTAGCTCCTGCTTTGATACCAGATGGCTGAAATTGCGTGTCTGCCTCTTCTGCGGGGTTTTCCTGGCCTGTGCCTCACCATCCACAGCACAGCTTTCCTCCCAGCCCTGGCCACGGGCTTCTTCATTAGGGCTGCTGTCCTCTTCCGAACACGTCTGCCAATCCTCCTCCTCCTCCTCCTCTCCCAGACAGTCCTCATACTCACTGTCGTCTTCATCACTAGTGACAACTTCACTAAGTGACAGAGGACCCCTGTCTAGATGTCGAGGCTCACCTTGTGGCATTTCGGCCTCATCGCAACTGGAGTTTTCAAAGTCAGTTCTGTTGGCTTCTTCAGCATCTCCATTTGCTTGTTCCTGACGAAATAACAGAAAACAGAAAAGTTCAGAAGTGTGTAAGTGCACCTTTTCGCTCCAGTGAAAATACTCCAGTTGGTTATCTAAGGTGAACACAGGACAGGAAAAGCTATGAAGGTGACAAAAAAGGTAACTATAGAGAGGAGGCAATGCAAGCCTTTCAGTGCAGGGCACAGCCACAGAATCCACAGTGGTGCCCTCGGGGGAGAGGAAGAGTGGTGGACCTTCACTTTACACCTTTCTGTATTACTTGAACTTTGTACAGTAATATGTATTACTTCTGTAACAGATAAATCTTTAAAGAAAGTGAAGGTTTAGGAAAGTCTGTGCCAAGCTGAATTCTTTGGCTGTATATTATTTTGCAATGGACTGCAGAACAAAATAAAGCATTTCTCATTAACGATAAAAGTTTCTTCTCTGCACAAAGCAAAAGGGGTTTAATTTGTAATTGGAGCTTCATTTTACATTTGCATTTTTCAAGAGAGTGGTTTGCATGTTTAAGGAAACTGCTATTCTTTTATAATTGCCTTTAATAAATCAAAGCACTGTGGAGATAGTTGCCTGGTGTAAAATGCAGGAGCAACAAAACTCAACTCCTGTGTGGAAATTATTCAACAATTAAAGATTTCCTTTAGAGAAAGATAAAATTATGTACTATTCATGGAAGTATTAATTCTTCTGAATAGCTACTGATAACAGCAGAAACAAGGCAATTTACAGTATTACTAATTCGTACCAACACAGATGAAGTGGTTTGGATTTAGAAGTGATGTAAATAAACCTTGTATCATTTTCAAATAATCTAGTGTTAGAATGAACAACCATCACAGAAGGGGGCATCATGAGCTCAGTTAAATAGGTATCCTAAATGTTAGGAAAGTGATGTAAACAAACTGTGAGGGAAAATAGGTATGAATTCATGATAATACCTGGCAACTCAAAAAGAAACATGGAATTGGGAGCAATTTCTATGCTAAACAAGCAATGAATGTAACGAAGTCAGTGTGCTCTTCTGAATCATTTTAAGGTTCGGAGAAAAGAGGCAGAAGACGAGAATGTGAACCTGTGTGTGTATTAGAGAAACTAAAGCTATAAGTAGTTTAGGTTCAGGAAAAGTGATAATGGCAACAAAAGGACTTTGTGGTAGTTACAAAAATCACTACTACTTAAAAGGAATAGTAATATCCAAGTTAAGGTAAAAACAAAATGACAAACTTTTTCTATATGTAAAGATAGGATGAGATCTGCCTAAGTCTTTTCTTTTAAATATTTGAGGGAGTTGGTTGTTCACAGCTTCAATGAGCCAAAAGCATAATCTAGCTCCTCTGAAAGGGGGTGAATTAAAACCACACACACACCTCTGAATTCCTTCAGATTTAGAGCTCACTAACTTGTGAGCTCAGCAAAGGGCAGGTGTTGCATTCACTGCCCTAGCTCAACATGCTGAGTCAACAGATGGCTAATAAACAGGAATAAGAGATAAGGAGAGGAGGAGGACAGGAGAAAAGATATTCTTTTAAGTCTCTTCCAGTTCTAAGATTTTATTACTAATTTCTTTTCACAGTTAGTTATTATTTTTATTAGAAAATAAATCTCAAATTGTTTCTTTAAAATTTGGGTTAAAAAATATTAAAACGAGTATCAGTGTGTAACACAGAGCCATGGGGACAGCAGAAAAGTCGCCCTGTGACCCGTTTTTCTATAGGTCTCCCTCCTATCATAGCACTTAGGGAAAAAACAACCCCCCCAAATTTCCATAAATCTCCAATAAGAAACAGCAAAGCACACTAACCAGAAACTGAAATCCTCTTCCCTGAAACCCAACCTGGAAAAGTGCCGCAGGTTACCTTAGGGTCAATAATCAGTGGGACGGCTTCAGCCAAAGCTGACCAGAAAATAACCTTCACATTTTCTTTTTCAAAGTACGTGGCCCAGGCACTCCGCTGCTCAGAAGTCAACAAATCTGCCTTATTTATCAGAATAACATTCTCCTTCTCGTCATCTATTTCTTTCACATAACATTCCTAGGCAAGACAAAGATATTTTAGGAAGGCCTCTTCAAAGAGGTAAAAATTAGGCTAATTATACTGAAGGACCCTCCCTCCCCCAGCTATAACTAAAAGTTTTTACTGTCCCAGGATTTTTTTTTAGGTTTTTAAAGATAATTTATTTTGAAACAATTTCAGATGACAGAAAAAGTGCCAGAACAATACAAAGAACTCCTGTAGTCCCTTTGACCAGATGCCCCGATTGTTAACATTTTGCCTCATTTGCTCCATTGCTCACTCTTCTTTCTGTGTGTCTATCATCATTAGTCTTTGTCTAAATTTTAAGAGCTGGATGTCCCACCACCCCTAAACAGTCCAGAGTGTCTCATTTCTGATTTAAATGTTTTTAATCATAGCACATTCTGCTGATCCTCTCAGTAAGCTCTGAAAAGAAGTTAGGTCACCTATAGAAAAACATTTTAACACAACACAATTGGAAGGGGTAAAAAGAAATGCTTCCCGCCATCCTGAAGTACAGCAGGTCCTTTTGTCTTTAAAAAATGTAGTTCTTTTCTTTAATAATACTGAACTGTTTTCGTTTTTTTAATGTTTTATCTTTATTGTTGAAAGTACTACAAACGTTCCCTTTTCCCCACATTGATCCCCTTCACCCTGCACACCTCCAGGCCTTCGCCACACTACTGTCTGTGTCCACGGGTGATGCATATATGCATATAAGGTCTTAGGTTATTCTCTCCCCCCGTCCACCCACCCGTGCCTGCCCTCTTCCCTTTGAGATCCCTCAGTCTGTTCCATGCTTCTATGTCCCTGGATCTATTGTGTTCATTGGTTTATTTTTGAACTGTTTCTTTTAAACAAAGTTAAAAATCTGCATAACTAGATTTGTCAGCCAGCAGGGACTGTATTTCAGCCACATGACAGCCAACAATATTTAATGTAAAAATTATTTTTGAAGTCTAAAAGAAAACCAAGACACAGTAATTGAAATTAATTCGCAGGTTTGGCTCTTCATTAGGAAATACACCAGAAGTACAAAAGCTGACTCCAAAAGAGTTTCACCATTAAGATTCTTGTTATTCAGCAGTGGATTTAAAAATAATCTGTACTTTTACTACTATGGTCCTCAGTAGGAATACTTCACATGTATACAGTGTGTTATTAATTCAAAGCCCGTATTACATCATGTCATGTGGTTTTCACACCTTATTACCCCCTGTGGTGCTTATAAACTTAGTTTACTTGTAAACCACTACAGGGGTAATAACTAAGTGTGAGAAAACTTAATGGGATGGATAAGAAGTAAAGTAACCAGGAATATGTTAAAGTAAGTAAAATGCCCTTTTGACTGGTGTCTCAAAAAATGAGAAAGGCAAATGTCTATTAACAAAGTGGTTCTAAACTAAAAGGTAGAAAGTTCATGTTAGTGTTTGTGCCTTTCTGCAAACAGAAACAACTGTTTGAGAAGAGAAAACATCTGTCTAAAGAGTCGTATTATGCAAGCTCCTGAACTGGGGAGGCCTAGTTAAACAAAGCTAGCGAGTACAAAATGCTTGCCTAGACGGACTGCTATCAGTCATGCTGCCCTCCCACTGCTCCTCCAAGGACATTAAATTTGAATCTTGCCACATTTTACTTACCAAATCCTCACATCTAAACAGGAGTGGGTTTCGAGCATCTACTATCTGGACCACGATATCGCTGCAAAACAACCGTGAGATATTCCAATCATTGTGAAGTGAAAGGAATACTGACCATATAGTAAGAGGAGCAAATACTTTCCATATATTAAGCATGTGACATATTTAACTTTTTAAGGTACAATTATTCCCAGTTTATATAGGAGGAAACTAAAAAATTTTAGCTGTTATCTTCTAGTAACCTCTCCTGGAGAGATAAAGAGAGATTATATATTCAGTACTTAATCCATACTGTATTAAGGCTTCAAAGAAAACCATAATATATCTATCACCTGCTGACAGTTGTCACTATCAAAGCCTACATCTAGCAAATGATCATCCACCCACTCCAAGAATGGGTTAAGATGGCAGAATCCAAAACAGCAAAATACCAACTTAAGTTGCCATCCTGAAGCAAGAAGGATGAGTCCAACTTCTTCAGTCACATATAAAAAAATGTAGCAATAAGAAAACTTTCTGCTCTGGCCGGATGGCTCAGCTGGTTGAAGCATCATCCTATGCACTGGAAGGTTGCGGGTTCACTTCCTGGGTAGGGTGCCTATGGGAGGCAACCAATCAATGTCTCTCTCTCTCTCCTCCTCCTCCTCAATAATAATAATAATAAAAAGAAAACTCTACAATTGAGAGCAAGCCCCTTGAATCCTTAAAAAATGTGGTGGGGACTACAGCAACCCAGCTTTGCAAGAAAATAAACACTACACTGGGAGGACCCTCCCTTCCTTCAGCTTGTTTAGGAAAGGTGCTTTTTTAAGGACCAGCTGAGGCTGCCCCTGGAAGGAAATAAGCTGCAGATGTACCACCTGCCACCTTACAGCAGTCTCCCCAAATCTGTATCCAGTTAGCCTTTTTTGAGGTAACTCTTATGCTACCATGCTGAATACCAAGGATATGCATGACATCACGGTTACCATTCAGGGCAGGGTTTTTGCCGAAGTGCATTTCCTTCAGAATAGTTAAATTTCCAGCAAAATTGTGTGAGTCAAAGGGACTGAGAAACTTGCTAACTTATGATAAATTGTTTTTAATAAGCTGTTTTTAAATTCTCAAATTAAGCAGGTCCTAATATTTTCTTCTTTAAGGTAATATCTACCACTTTCAAAACTGTGAGGATTCAAGAGTAATTGCAAAAATGACTGCAAAAAATGGACAAAGCCTAATGAGCTAAAATTACAAGGTCCACAAACTTTATGTCTACCTACTAAACATGCAGAAAGACTAAGAAAGAATAATCAGCTCAGAAACACCAGTAAGAAAAGACAAATTTAAGAGATAAGAGAAAGAAGCTTTGTGTGCTGAATTAGGAGGCAGAAAAAAGTGCCAACTATGTACCAGGAAGGGTTTACGCAACACAACGAAAGCGCCTGTTACTGGAATACAGTGTTCTGCCCTCGGTGCCGCAGCAGTTTCCTGCATTTCAATAACATGTCATACATCAAATCTTTTCTGATAACTACTTTCGAAATTAAAGAGGCAGATGGCTTAGCTGCCTGTTACCAAATGGAGGCATCTGCTATACAGAAAACACCAATAAATATTTCCTGCTAAAAGATGCAGCAGTAGTCACTTTATTGATACTATTTCTATGTAACTCGGATCTACACTTCCATGTAAAATACACTATATTCACGGAGGAAGAAATATGTTCTCTCTTATAAAAAGAGAGTATCACATAATAAAAACAAAGCAAGTACCACTGTAAGCCAACTGAGGCTAACTAAAAGTTTCAACAAGCACAGGCTCATGGTGGGGAAACCAACTGCTTATTTAGGGGCATAAAAATCATGTAAAGGGCAGTCCTGTTAAACATGGAAGAACACATGTGGTTACCTCTGTTCCCTGTCAAAACCTACAAAAAGGAAAGTAAAGGCTGGAGCTCATTAGGACAAAGGAAGAACAGCAGCTAAGAAATGTCAAACCAATAAGAAGCAAGTCTGTACAAGCCAGAAGCCAGAGAAAGCTCAGGATTAGAAGCATCGGATCTAGCTCTCAAGGCAAGGGTGAGGCATGGCACTGGGACCAATCTGAACAGAGAGCTCTTAGGTCACTCCCTGTTCCATTCAACCAGGCAATCACACCCCACCCGGTTTACAAGTTTAATCCAATTCCTGTGGGTTTTTTTTAAAATAACAATGCAAATGTGCTAATATTCTTTTCCGAGAACCAGTCATCCTGCTTCCTAATGTTCTTACTGGGTATATTTTATGGATTTAAAAAAAAATAGACTGAAGGTTTCTTGTTAAAAAACATCATTTCTAATATAAGGATCATTTATGGAGTCCGTCTAAGAAATTCAGACATTTTAAAGAAAACAAAAACCTTTTAACCATACCAGTGATTTTCAACATTTTTCATGTCATGGCACACATAAGCTAATTACTAGAATTCTGCAGAACACCCAAAAATATATTTTTTGCCAATCTGACAAAAAAAATAATAAAAAAAGGAATAATTTTGATTCATTCACACCAGATGGCAATTGTTGTGTTGGCTGTTATTTTTTCATTTGACAATCTAAGGGAAAAGAGGTCAGTGCCCCTGACCAAATAGTTCGGTACTACATGTTTAAAAAATTCTTGCAGACACTGATTGAAAAAAGCTGAACTATACCAAAGAGGTGAGATTGGAGAAAACTGATTCATCAATTTCTAACCATCAGGACATGAAAAAGACTGGAAATCTCCCATTCTTAATTTATCAAAATCTTTCTCTTTTCAAATCCCAACCAAAACAAATCACCCCTTCATTTCTAATCCTTATCAACTGCTCCTTCCTTTGCTATGCCTTGACCATCTGCAACACAGAAGGAATCACACTCTGCTTTGTACTTTACCAGTACTATGTCGTCGGAGAGTAAAGACTGCATTTCATTCATCTGTGTGCTCTGGTGCCTGGTGCATTGTTTGGCCTTCCCCCCATAATATATTTGCTCTTTGCAGGCAGACACTTATCCCTTTTTACACCCATATTTTCCATCTTACAAGTAGAAACTCAATATACATTTGCTGAAATAACTATAATTGCTTCAGAACTCATCTTACAGAAAATGCTTACTATTCTCATAGGCTTATCAATGTGTTCATCTAATAACAAAAACCATCTATAATTTTAAAAACTTTCAGTTTTTATAATAATTCTCAGTAGCCCTTTGCATAGCTTAATCCTGCTCCCCTCCCATCTCTGGGCCTATAAACACATATTAACACCGAATCTAATATAACACCACAACATTGGTAATTTACCTTCTTTCAATCACCCTCCAGAGTTGGCGCCAAAAGTCCAAATTTCTTTCAAATGGAGTCAATATCAGCTTTTGTTCCTCTTCTAGCCTGGCTTTAAAATGATAAGTTTATACCTTTGCCAGATTATAATAGGTTTTGTAATAGAAATACTAAATTCATTGCATTAAAAAATAAGTACACAAATATTAACTGTCAAACTATTTTTATATACTTTCTGCTGAGTCAATAAGAAAATCAAATTCAAGTTTTACACTTAATCTATTTAAATCCTGGAAGCTTATCTATCAAACAAAGTCATATTTCTTCAAGGCATTTCTTCCTGGAGGAATGCTCCAGAGCAGTAATCAACTTCAGAGCGACTAACAGCTGGAGAAGGGTATAAAAGGGAGAAAGGCCAGGAATGGAGCAGAGTAACCAACTCACTGTCTTTGTGCAAGGAGTCACGTGCAGCCAGCAATGCTATCTGCACACACACCAGTTTGCATTTAAAATGCCTGACTTGGAATCCAAGGCAAATCTTCAGACAGTCTAACACTCACCGGACGAGCTGACGTCTCCATTCTAGAAAGTTGTCTTTCTCTGCCTGCTTGAGTTCCTCAGGGCTTGTTTTTTTGTCCCACTTTGGTCTGAAACAATCACAGAGGGGAAAACACTCCATGAGTTATCAAAATAAAACAGGGGATTTGGATTTAATAATGGCAACTGAGGAAAGCAGAAAAAAATGAACACCATATTAAAATGTTTATACTCAGTGACCTTGTTATGCCTTGTAAAGTCCTGCATTCGTGTTCAACTCACCTCCTTGGAATACATAAGAACTGTTTGTTTTCTTCATGGAGCTTCTTAATTCTCTGGCTCTCCTCAAAAGACAGCAGTCCAGTTTTAGCCTCAGGAAGCACAAACTTAATATTAAGCTTCTCTGTTTATAGAACAGAAAAGAACTATTACTTTAGGAAGCAATATAGATATTGAATATTGGTTGTTACTTCAAAAACTAAAAACATGAGCACCTAAAACAGATTTTTTATTTTGATTCCTCTAGCCTTGGATAAATTATAATTTCCAAATGAAGTTTTCTACCAAAAAAGAATAAAAGAAAAGATCTTTATTGAAGTTTTCAAAAGGTCAAACATTTTTTTCAAGTACTAATTTTATAAAAATTCCATTATGGTAAATGCAGTAAGAGTGGGAAGAAACTGTAAAGATATACTACAACCAATCTTTTCATTTTACAAGGGAGAATAATTGTAAGCCAATGGGAATGGGTGGGGAAGCAAAGATTCAACAAATCTCACTCCAGTTAGAAATGGTGAACTACTACACTAGTATAATTTAGATATTTATGATGAAAACCCACAATTAATGCCATTATTTGAATTCAAAGGAATAAAATAAATGCACACACCCCTTGAACTAAATAGTTGATAATTCTTTTCCATTAATTCCTCCTTCCAATGGTGATGTCGCACCCAATGTCCAACCATTATAAATACCTCTAGCCCCTTGACTCTTCCTCTTTCCCCAGTCCATCATCCAAATCACAGCTTCACTTCTTTCCCTATTTGGCCACAGCCACATACATGGTAGATACATTCGACCACTCTGACTGAATATCAAAATTCATTACTCTACTGCACCCACTCACTGCCAAAACTCCACCCATGGATAAAGCCAACTATCCTTTCTCCTCATTTCAGTAGTGATGCTATGAGTGCTGCTACAAGTAATCATACAATAATGCAACCACCTGTCTCTGAACTGTGTTTACTACCAATAGTTGTTGTTTTTTAAAGTAAAAAACATTTATTTGTTTTTCACTAAGACTTTATCTCAGGACATAATTAAACTGTGTCACCACTCCCCACTCCAACTTGAAGAAGGGTTAGTACAGTGAATGTTATAAAGCAGATATGAAATTTTTAAAGGATTATAACCAACATTAATTGACAAAGAACAACTTCCTTCTAAATCATAACAATGTTTAAGTAAAAAAACAAAAAGAGAGGAGAAAAAAGGGGGGATGGGAGTTCAGATTGAACAAGATCCTCACATTTCATCTAACACATTCAATCCTGGCTAGAGTGTACCAAAATGGAAACAGGGTTACTATAATACAAAACTTCCACTACAGATGGCTGTACACACCTGTGTTCCAAGCCCACCCCAACCCCAATGCTTCCAACACAACTATTTCCCGGCCTGTTGGGCCTGCTGACGAAGGAGCACATAGATCTCTTTAATCCAATATTTGTTATAAGTCTGGTATGTCTGGGTATCAGCTCGATAAACAAGACAGCTGAGGTCTGCCAGATCATCAACAAAATCAAACAACTGGCTGATATCGTCTGTGATAGAGGGGCTGTTGGGATTCATTCTGTTCAGATGTTCTTCATACATTTTACAAACGCCTCCCATGCATTCATTCACTGATTCATAGAGTTAAGTTCTGCCTTCTGGCCTCTTCGTAGGCTGTACCAGTAAAATGGTGTGAGACGTTGCACCAAACTATTTCGATGCAGCCGCTGCCACGACCACCGCCACACACTTACTACCAATACTTTTGACACCAAAGATGTGGGTTACCCACACCAACAACCAATTCTCCAACTCTCCAAACACCAACTGGGTGTCCTACAATTCCATTCTATTCTGTTAGACTCCATAGGTATAAGGGCTCTGTCCCACTACTTCACTTTAGGTGCCAAATCTCTGAATGGGTTTGTATGGAGGCTTCATCACACAAGCATGATTTACTGGTGATTAACTCAATTGTTAGAACCTCCACAGGTGGGGGTGGGGAGGTCCTGAAAATTCCAACACACTAATCACCAGGTTGGTTACTATGACAACCAGCCTCCCATGCAGAAGTAACCCAAGGGCCCACTAGTCACCTCATTAGCACAAATTCTCCTCTACNGGTTACTATGACAACCAGCCTCCCATGCAGAAGTAACCCAAGGGCCCACTCGTCACCTCATTAGCACAAATTCTCCTCTACCCTNCCCAAGGGCCCACTAGTCACCTCATTAGCACAAATTCTCCTCTACCTATCACTCATGAAGTTATAAGGGTTTTAGAAGCTTTTTGTAACAGAAACTGGAGATGAAGACCAAATATATATCTTATTATATCACAGTACCAAACCTTATTTGCTGAAAATAAGATATGAGTGCTACCTGTGCCATCTTTTAAAGAATAGAGCCCCCAGTGAATATTTAGCATTTGTCATTTTTCACTCCTTTGTTAGGTCAGACTCATTTGAGAACTTACTTAAAAACTACAGAACATCACTACATCCCAAAATAGCACATATGTACACATAACATGTTTAATTTTGCATGCAATCCTAGGGACTCACAGATAGCTGAAACATGAAGTCCCCAGGTTAAACTGTTCCTGTGTGTCCAGCAAACAAGTGTTGTCTGCAGGACATAGAAAATTGTGAAAAAATTCTACCACCTCTACATTGTTAAGGAAAAGGAAAGAAGGGTATAAAATAAAATTTAATAAGAAATTTTAGTGAATTTTCAAAAGGTTTGTGAAGGTCTCATTAAGTAGGCACAATTAATTAAATCATTGGTCCTTAGTGATTAAATCTCCAGCCCCTCTCCCCTCCCCAGAGGTTGGGCTGAAAGTTCCAACTCCAATTACACCCCGTTCTGTTTGAAGACCAACTTTCATTCTGAAGTTATCTAGGCATCCCCAACCACCAATTACCACAGCATACAAAAAGACATGTGGATCACTCCAGAGATTCCAAAGATCTTAGAAATTTTCATGTCAGGAACCCAGGAAAAAGACCAAATATATATATATGTCCTATTATATCACAATATTAGTATCACTATAAGTGTATGGGTTCAACATCAGTTAAGTCCCTAAGACTTTCCATAGAAGGAAGAATATTCTTCTATGTTCTTGGTTTATTTCTCCCATTCCCTAAATTGTAAATGCTCTCTTTCAACTCCTTCCTCCGCCTCTGCCCACTTTCACAAGGTGGCCTTCTACCTTAATAAGAGAAAAATTCAAATTCTTAGATATGCACCCTTTCAACGTTTCATCTACACATTTCTCAGTGTGTGCACTCAACCTTTAGCTTCCTTTTTTCAACTTCAGAGAAAGCTGCACTCCTTTTGTATCGAGTTAATCCTTCCCAACTTTGATTTTGATCGCATTCTATCCCCGTCTCCTTCCAGATTAAAACTTTGCTCCTTTCCTCATTAATCTCTATTTTCTTTGGTTTTAAAAATTAGCTTTTACTTACACATTTATCTAATACATAAACTCTCCTTGTAAAAATTCAACCTTAAAGGCACACATTTTCTCTGACCAACCCCCAACCTTCTTCCCACCCTTTCCCTTGAAGTTATTGACTAAATGTGTAGCTTTCCAAGTTTTTTTTTTTTTTCTCCCTCCCACCATAATATACACATACATATACGGATTGGTTGGATTTTTTAAAAATAAATTTTTAATTTTTCAATTACAGTTGATATATATTAGTTTCAGGTGTATGTACAACATCGTGATTAGACATTTATGTAACTTATGAAGTAATCACCCCAGTAAGTCTAGTAACCAGGTCAGATTATTTTTTTACTGCATTGACGAAGTAACCGCTTGAGCTAAAGCTGACCCTATTTTTTTAATGCAAATGGTACATACTATATGCACAATTCTGCAATTGTCTTTTCATTTGACAACTGGTCTTGGAGATCCTTCTCATTAGTATCCAGAAATTTACTGCATTCTTTTTAACAACCATATAGGATTGTATAGCATGTCCATACCAGTTTATTTAGCCATTTTCCCACCTATTGAACATTTAGGTTGTTTCCAAGTATTCACTGCTAAAATACAGCATCATCTGGGAACTTGTTAGGAGGGCAAATTCTCAGACTCAACCCACACCTACCAAATCTCCAGAAAAAGAGCCCAGAAATCCGTGTAACAAGTTTTTCAGAAAATTCTAATGTTCACCAAAATTCGAGAACTATTGCTCTAGCATAGATACTAAAAAGTGGAAATGCTGGACATGGGACATGCACTGTAAATTTGTAATAGTTACTGCCAAACCCAACGCTATCTTTTCAACCTCTTCCTCTCTAACGGATCTCAAACCATAACCTATGTACATGTTAATATTAACCTTGATCTCTCTCTCTCTCTTCTCCCTGCCATAGTCAAATATCTCGAAAGAATACAACACTCTTATTAACACTTCCACTCCTTTCTTCTCTACCTCCAATTATGGCTCTACCACTCCTCGCTCTTCTTCACTTACTCCACCACCTCCACAAAGTCTGGTTTATTCTAGCTCCCTAACAATACCCTGTTTGTTTCTTCATTCCTTCATTCTTCTGCTACTACAACTTTAGTTCTGGTCTGTTTCTCTTGTTGGACTAAAACAAGTCTCCTAACTGGTGTGCCTAAGATTCATCAGTAACCTTTAAAAAAGATTCATCAGTAACCTTTAAAAAAATATGAAATGATGTTCAATACTTGTTTAAACCCCTCAAAGACTCCTTTAAAGCCCTTACTCTCCACAGGACCTGGCCCTTGCCCACCTCCTCATGCTCATCACATACTGTCCCTGTGTACTTGAAGGAACAGTGAGGCCAAACCTCTAACCATTTTCTGAACAATGTAGGCTACTACTCACATCTTGAGTCCCCTGCCTGTCCCTGTATAACATCCTGTGTCATCTCACCTGTCCTTCTAATATTTATTCATCTTTTGAGACTCAGCCCCAGAATAAAGCCTTCCCTGACCAGGCCTAGTCTTCCTTCAAATAAAAAGGAATACTCTCCATCTTTTATGACCCCATTGTCTGCTACAGACTTCTTTCAAAGCACCTAAGACAAAATTTGCAGAGCCAAAATTTGTCTTGTTCCACATTGTACTCTCAGTAACCAGTACAATGCCTGAGAGCAGCTGAGGCTCAACAAAAGCATTTTGAACAAGTGAGTGAATTTGCTAAACAACTTAATAACATTTAGAATAATAAAAGAGCAACAGAAATAATAGTTTATAATGCTATCTCTGTGCCAGGTACTCTTCTAAGTGCTCAGAAACACATACAAAAAAACAAGGGAGAGTAGTGATTAAAACAAATTACATGCACCGAAAATTCCACTATAATGTGTTGACAAGTACTTTAAAATACAATTCAAATTGCCTAAGTAACAGCAGCAGGCCCAGAATTTTGCTACTAACAATGGTATCAGAAACTATTCTGGAAAATGCTGGTATTGTCCACCATAATATTGACTAGTCTTTTCCCTATGAAAGATTAGGTTTCTTAAGCTTGATATGATACTGTATAATCTGAAGTGTTTCTTCAGAGCTGAATTCTGAAACTGTGGCACATTATGCTTCTGGGATACCTGACTTTGGGCTAAAGACAGCTTATTTATGAGTTTAATAGGGTCTGCAAAAACGGTTCCAAGTAGATTTATTGTATCTAGCCAGCAAAGACTGAAATGTGACCAGTGTTATATGCACTCAGCAATAAACAACTTACCAGCTACGAACTCTGTTCCTGCAAGTTCTGCAGTTGCAAGGAAGTCATCAAGGGAGCTCTGTTCAGTCACTGACTGAAGATTAAGACGACCCCAATCATAGCCATCATTGAGTTCACTGGTGTGCAACTGTGAATAAAACAGGGTAAAAATACAGCTACTCTCTTCTGCTCTTGACATCCAAACTAACTCTAACCCCCCAAGGAACTAATATTCTGTGGTCTTGAGTGTGATGTCAGCACCTTTAGAGTCAATACTAATAATAGCTAACATTTAAATGAGCTCTTTCTTACCTCATGATAGGCACTTTCCATTTATTATTTAATTTAATTTTCAAAATATTTTAAAGTAAATTTAATGTGTATTTTATGTGATGAGGAAATATGCTTAAGTAGATAAAAATAGATTGCCTATAGTTGCAGCTAATAAGTGATAAAGATAGAATTTGAACATAGACTCTTGGTCCTGGCAGTCACAGTTAAAATTTTTTGATGAAGACCCACAGGAAGTTTCACAGTAAGTGATCCAAATGCTGTGATACACAGCAATACAATTGTGTACCATTAGGAGAGTAAAATGGAAACAAAAGAATTCTAAAACAAAGTTACATTACTACATGTAATACACTCTGATATTTTGAATTTTTTTGTTGGTTTAAAAAAACCTCTAGTTGCCACCTACTTAACTGATTTCCAGACACAACCCAGAGTTTGATAAACACCATCCTAGTCACATGCTCATTACAGGTAGAAATAAATGAAGAAAAAAACCCCAAAACTGAAGGTTAAAAGGTTTGCCCAAGGCCACAGAATCAGCAAAAATCAGAGTAAGGATTAGAATCCAGTTCTTTAGAATTCATATTCAATCTTCCCATCACTTCCTAAAAGCTACACTAATAACAATCTGCTTCAAAATGAACTGAAATGATCAGTAATCTAATGTCCAGAGTACATTTGACCTGATGAGTATTAATGAGCCAGAATGCTGCTCACTCTGCATATTATACGGATGGAAGTCAGGCGGTGTGACAGTGGCACATGGACAGTCAGCACCAGGGGCATCTTTGACTTCAGCACGGATTCTTACTGAGACCTTAGTGAGTCTCAAACACCTGGGGTTATGAATGGTCAAAATAACAAGCACAAGTCAAACTGCGTCGTCCATTTTTCAAGGGTCCTAAAACTATGACCGTTCCTAGGCCTGGGGCACTATGAGGCCGGCCACATCCTGGAGATGAATTGTTCATCTTTGAGCGGCACTACTAGGAAATAATAAGGGTGAAGCAGGGATTAGAGAGAGGCTGTATTTCTAGTAGCAACTAGCCAATCTTGGAGGGTCAATTCTTTAAACCAATACAGAAAGAAGTAGTATTTGTGTCTTCCCTGCTTATAACTTCCAAAAGCTCCCAGGGCTTATAAGGCAAAACCTACTTTCTAACAGTAAGACCCTTCAAGAGCTCACTCCAGCCTCAACCAACTAGTTCTACGTTTAAGCCTCCACCTTCGTGCCCTCAGTCCCTCCTAGGAGGAGGACCTGCTCTCAGCCTGGCAGCAGTTTACACTTATCCTTCAAGAGCCTACTTAGGCGTCACTTCTAGGGAAGTTCCGTGACCTCTGACCCCAGGATTGGCCGCATTCACACTCGCATAACCAAACGGAACGGCTGAGAAAGATGACAAGACCTGTCTTACCCACGAGTCGGCGCGACGCTGGCCACGGCTCCGCTGAGTCTGATGGCGGATAAGCGCCCGGCCGAGAGACGCGGTACCCGGCGCTTTCCTCCGGCCCATCGCAGCGCGGCGGCCGAACGGACTTGCCCCGCCCCACGCGCACGTTTTCCGGGACTCAAGCCCTCGGTCCCCGGAAGTGACGTATGAGCCCAAGTAGGGAAGGCCCGCGTTGAACGAAAAAAATGAAATAGCTTGCTCGAAACTGCCTTCTTCTATCTCGAGTTGGTCACTATTATAGAACACAAATCTAAAGTTTCTCCGACACCTTAATTTTCTGTAGCTGTCTCTAATACTATCTCGAAGTTCGGTAGAGCGGTGGAATCAAAGAATGGTACCTTCCAGACGTGTGCTGCCGTCTTCAGCGTCCGGCGAGAAACCGGGGGAGCTAGAGAACAGTGCCGCTGGTATTCGGGTACGGGCCGGCTCCCGGCCGCTCCGCCCGGGAAGGCGGAGGTTCCGGGAAGGAGGTGCCGAGCCCGCGCGAGGCGGCGGCGCCTCCGGGCTCTTCTTTCCAGCGGGTGTCGGGAGGGGCGTGACCCAGCGATGGAGTAGCTTTGCTTTCTTAGTCTTCCCGAGCTGCGAGCTGGGGAGAAAGCCCTCCTGGTTGGGAGTTCGGGACGGGAAGTGAATGATGTTCGCCGAGCTTGGCAAGATTGCGGGGAAGCCCCGCAGGAGCCGACTCAAAGCTTTACCTCAAACGGCAGTTCCAGGCTTTGCGACTCCGCGGGAGGTCGGCGTCCCTAACCGCCGCCTTGTTCAAGGGTCAACTGTAGTTAAAAAAACAAAAAACAACCCCAAAACGTGAAAGTTCCACTTAGAATTGTATTGAAACTTTGCTGTAATTGAAGTGAAAGCGGCGAGGCGCTGTGCTCCGCGGCCCGGGCCTCTGTTCCTCACTTAGGTTAAGGCCCAGCCACGGGGAGACGGCAGGCGGGTTAGGGTGCGGGTGCTGCGCGCTTCGCCTGCATTCATTCCCCGGAGGTCGCCTCCTGCGGCGAAGCCCTTTGCGGGAGGCCGGGGCGCGGGCGTGGCGTGGGGGTCAAACCCGGGCCGAGCTCCGGGGAAGGGGAGAGTGAGGGTGGTAACAGGTGCTGCAGAACCTGTTGCTTTTCCAACTTCAGGGTGCGTGTGGCTCCTGCAAATCTCTGTGACATGCAGCTTCTGCTTAGTAAGCTCCGGGAAGAGGCCAGGCCTCTGTACTTGAAACAAGCTCCCAGGTGGCGCTCATGCTGCTCCGGCCCATGGGCCACACTTTGAGTAGCAAGAGAAGCCCCCTCCCTTCTGGTGCAGATGGAGACACCGAAGCGGACTGGCTACAGGTCTGTCACGGAAAGTTGGGGGCACGCGGACCGGGGGCCGTAGCATCCACCCGTCTCTGGATCTCCTGGCCAGGCCACCGTGTGCTCCCTCGGCTTCGGGAAGGCAGTGCTCGCAGACCCAGGAAGGAAGGCATCGGAACGTGGTTTCTCCCATTTCTCCACTCAGAAACAGTGTATCTTAAAAGAAAACAACACAAAACAAACGTGAACATAATCTCCAGAAGTAAAATATGGAGAAGACCTATGGAAGAGGGTAAGCAGACAGGCCCTGCATTCTCCTAGAGCATCGCGGTTAAAGATTTTCTGTCATTCCCCATTTATCCCTATTGAAAATGAGTGGATTCTCATAAAGTAAGTTTAAATGACTTGGATTCTAATGACAATACTAATAGCGAGAAACCTGCCACTCATTCCTAGAGCTCAGTCAGGAACTTGGGACTTCACCCTCTTTTCCTTTTCCAGATTTTGTCACATTGAGAGATTTAGAAAAGACAAACACTTTGGGTTTCTATACTCATTTTTCCCATGAGCTCCAAAACATCTTGACCAAATAACATGATACTTTAATCAAGACGGATGAGAAGTCAAAAAGACACCGACATTGCAAAATTAAAATAGCAGCAACTATTCTTAATTGACAAATAAGTAAGGCATAAATAATTTCAGTATTTTCCCCAAGATGTTCCTCAAAGCTACCATTGAAAAAGAATGAACTGAGACTCAGTTTTCTCATCTGGTTAATGGGGAAAACAATTCCTGTCCTGCAGAGGTAGCAGATGAGATAATGCTGCCAGATAATTGCCTAGGAGTTTGTGGGGTACCAATTTTCACAGCTGAACAATTTCCCCCCAACAACTGGATAATGCAGGTGAAAATCCAGATGTATAATTGACCCAAGTTGAGGGATTATGATGCTAGTTCATTGAGAAGAGGACGGAGGGAATTGAAGGTGTTGATGAGACAAGATTATGGGATCCATATTCAGAGGAACGAAGTGCGAATGAGCAGGGAGTGATGATGGTGGTGGTGAAGGGTGAAGCAAGGTGCTGGCTGCTGCCCAAGTGAGGGGGTTGCAAAGATGAATCAGCCCAGGTCCCTGCCTTCCAGCTGTAGAAGACATTCTACCCACTCACTTCAGGAAACTACACAACCCAGCCAAACTCCCCTCACCACTTTGCCATGACAGTGGAAATGCTCACCATCGGGTTTGTGTCTGGAAGACTGATCACATCCTCCGGATTCCCCACATAGTTGACCCCTCCTGCTGAAAGCCAGGATTCTCTAAACAGCTGACCCCAGAAGGAGGTTGCATTGGTTTCAGGACTGGAAGCCTCCTACCCAGCTTCCAAACAGCAGCACAGAGAGTGCTCCTCATTGGTGATGTTGCATAATACTTGATTTGCTGTGGCTAAACAAATGTAGTTACAAGCCCTGAAATCCACACCCTTGAACATACCTTTAAGTAACTTTCTGCTCCAACTCCATACTTGTTGCGCCTCTGGGCTCTAGATCAGTCTGAGGAGGGAGAGGTGACAGTGGGTAGGGTTTCTGTTTCATCTTTTTACTCCTTGACCAAAAATGTGTCAGTGGCAGGAAAATTGTTCCAAGGCAGCCCTGCCCCTCCCCTCTCCTACTCTCTATACCACCATCTTCCACAAGGACATTAAAGCAGTTTGCATAGGGCTGAGAGTTGTGAAAACAGAGGCCTGGCAGCCTTTGCAGAGAGTCACTGATGCAGTAAGGAAACTCCCTTTGATTTTCTGTCATTCCCCATTTATCCCTATTGAAAATGAGTGGATTCTCACAAGAGTGAGTTTCAACCATTCAGCAGCCCTTTATTTAAGGTTATTATAAATCATTGAGTCACTTCAATCATTGATTGCCTGCTTGTGCAAGTCCTCATGTGTGCAATGAAAAGTGTAAAGGACCTCTTGCTTTGGTGGTACAGGCTACAAGGTCCTATGCACACTGTATTTGAATCTATAATTGTCCCCCCAGTTCTTGTAGATATCTGTGGAATATCTAGGATCTTCTATCCAGAGATGATTTTTCAATTGGTTTTTTCCCCCTCACAACAGCCAAGTGAGAAAGGGCACTGTTATTGTTTTGAACTTTTAGTTGTAAATTTTGAGACCCAACAAAGTTAAGCAAAGTTAAGCAAAGTAAAACAATAAGAGGCTAGAAGTAGAATTAATAATCACCAACTCTAAAATCTGCAGATAGAAAGCACCAGGTTTCTTTTCTTCCTTCCTTCACTGATTTATCACTAGGCTCTTGGGAGTCAGTATCGGACAAACTCTCTGCCGCCCCCCACCCACCTCCAAGAACTGACATTTTAGTGGTCATCTGCCTGGCAGAAGAACTCATCCAAGGTTAAATAGCTCAGGTCAGTGGTGGAACCATGACCTTATACCACCAGTTAGACCCTATTCTGCCAGGAAGGCCTTCTAACCACTGGGATTTTACTTTTGTTTCTAAATGTGGCCCCTCCCCTTAAATCAGGGTAACAAATGTATGAATAAGTGTTAGAATGTCAGCTTGGATGGTGAGGGAATAAGGAAAAGGTGAAGAAAGTGTGACTAGCCTCAGGAGAGGGGACTCCCAGGGTATGTGGGGGCCGATTTCTACTTACGTGAAGACTGATAGAGAAGGGAGGGAAGATTGTTCTGAGTAGAGACAAGGCAAACAGACAAATGGGGAGAAACTACAGAGTCACAATTTTAGGTTCAATTTGTTTGAACCTTCTTGTAGTCAGAGTGGTTCAAAGATGGAATAGACAGCTTTGTAAGGTAGTGAGCTCCCTGCCACTGGGGATGGTCAAGCAATGGCGAGATAAGCAAGTTCCAGTGTGTTCTAAAGCAAGATCATGCTTCAAAGTGGATGTTGGAATAGAGGACCACAAGGTGCTTAACAGACTCCTTACCCTAAATCTGAAATAACAGGAGCAATGATGGTTTCAGAAAGAGTGCCTGGGCTGGCAATAGCAGGGCAGTACCTTCACCATGTAACTTGGGGAGAAGACTCCATCCTGCCTTCTTTGTTATGTGAGGGTTGAAGGCACTGTGAAATACCATCTGGCAAATTCAGTCATTAGTTACAAATGCTATCATTACAAGTGGAAATGTTACGATCCAAGGTTCTGTGTTAAAGCTAACCAAGCAGGGACAGTGATTTCTCCTCCTTCCACCTTCGGAGGGGACAAACCACTCTGTTCCTTCTTTACTGGTCACTGCTTCTGGTGGCACTGATGAGAAGGCTCACTTGCAAAGCTCATGGTTTCACTACTTGACTTGACTTCCTTCTCATGCTTTTGTATTTCTGCCTGGGCCTTATTCAGGTGGCAAACATTCCTTGCAAGCAGCCTGTGAAAGGAGAGGCTTCATGGTTTTATGGCAAGCAAGGCTCATGGTGACCTCTGGAGTTTGTAGACATCTGTGTCTATTGTTCCTCTCTCACTGCAATTTCTTGTCATGGCCTCTGTTTTGAGTTGTATAGCATCTCTCAAAAAGATAGATTCCAGTCCTAACCCCAGGTACCTGCGGATGTGACCTTATTTGGATATTGAGCCTTTGCTGATGTAACCAAGTAAAAATGAGGTCATACTGAATTAGAGTGGGCCTTAATGCAATGATAGGTGTCCTTAAAGAAGATTCAAATGTGGACACACACAGAGAAGGCAAGGGGAGAACACCATGTGAGGGTGGAGGCAGAGATTACAGTGATGTAGCTACAAGCCAAGGATTGCAGGC